ATATATATATATATATATATATATATATATATATATATATATATATATATATATATATATATATATATATATATATATATATATATATATATATATATATATATATATATATATATATATATATATATATATATATATATATATATATATATATATATATATATATATATATATATATATATATATATATATATATGTTGTATTGTACATGATGAGTTATAATGAATTGTGGTGAGAAAATGTGGAATATATGTATTTTGTGCTCTTGTATGTGTATATATAATTATATGCATTGTTATTATGATAATATTTCTCACCCTTCTGCTGGAATGATGTCCTACATGACATCGTGCAGGTATCAAGGAGTAGTATTGCTCGTAGTTACGAGGTCGCTTTTGGTGTAGCCGTTTAGTGATTTAATTATGTTGGGTCGAGTCATGCTCTGGTCATGTAACACTGGGATCGCTTGGGTTGTGTTTAAGATATACATTATGTACTCTATAAACGTGTTTGTATCCATTGGAATATTATGATGTTGGCCTTAGTGCCTAAGTGATGTTGTTTTATGTGATAAAAACAAATGTTTCTTTTATGAAAATTGTGGTATAATTGAATTCGCTGCTACATGCAAAATGAAGTTTTGTAAAGCATAATTTTATATTGAAATAGTAATGAGCATGACAGGTGGTTTTGATATTTTGAAAGTTATGTGTAATATCCTTTTGTAAATGCATGGAAATTTACTATGATTATTCATATATTATCCGTGGGGTTTAGAAGGGTGTTACATTAGTGGTATCAGAGCCATACCTCTCCCAGTACGATGTGGTTCGGGGACGAACCAAGCGGAAGCTGGTGGGCATGTAACACCTGAGGTGAAAGAGGACGGTGGTTACATGTAACACCCGTGGGCCAGGGAGTGGTTGTCGGTGTCATGAGGCATGACAATGAGACACTCCTAGCAGCTTCTAGAGGAAAACCGAATTCACATCCGAATGAGAGGGATCCTGAGGTTATGCAGGTATGGGACTGCATGGTTGAATGAAGGCTTATAAGGATTAATTGGTACTACCTATACCAACAAGATGCATCTTCTTTTCGGTAGCTCATTCATAAGAACTCCACGCGTCCTGGAAAGCGTGTGATTGAGGACAAAGCATGCTGAAAAGACCCGTGTTGGTTTGTGGGGTCAGTCGGTAATCCTGAAAGCAATATGGGGCGTTACAACCTGCCCATACAAAGTTGTATAGTTTGCTAGTCTTTGTCGGAGATAGGAAGATATGAACACATGAGGACAAAGCATGCTGAAAAGGCCCGTGTTGGTTTGTGGGGTCAGTCGGTAATCCTGAAAGCAATATGGGGCGTTACAACCTGCCCATACAAAGTTGTATAGTTTGCTAGTCTTTGTCGGAGATAGGAAGATATGAACACAAGAAGGGGATGTGAACACAAGATATTTCCACTTAATCTTTGTCGGAGATAGGAAGATATGAACACAAGAAGGGGATGTGATTGAGGACAAAGCATGCTGAAAAGACCCGTGTTGGTTTGTGGGGTCAGTCGGTAATCCTGAAAGCAATATGGGGCGTTACAACCTGCCCATACAAAGTTGTATAGTTTGCTAGTCTTTGTCGGAGATAGGAAGATATGAACACAAGAAGGGGATGTGAACACAAGATATTTCCACTTAATCTTTGTCGGAGATAGGAAGATATGAACACAAGAAGGGGATGTGAACACAAGATATTTCCACTTAACGATGAAGTCTAGAATTAGGAATAACTAAATTGTGGTAATCCATACTAATGGAGGTATGTTGGAGGATGTGGATATTATAAGAAAAGCAATTAAATAACACTTAAGTAGTTTTTAATTGTGAAGGTGATAGAAGTCCGGGACCTAATGAGTTCAAAATGGATTTTTTGAAAAAATTTGGGATGTGGTTGGTGAAGATGTGATCAAATTTGTGCAAGAATTTCATAGTATAGCTAAACTACCTAAAGAAATTACCTCTTTCTTTCTTCCTCTAGTTCCTAAAGTTGACAACCCTCAGAGAATAGATGAGCATATACCTATTTGTCTTATATGTTGTATGTACAAATTAATCTCCAAGATTTTGGCTTCAAGACTTAGGAGATTAATTGGGAAGGTGATATCTAAAAACCAAACAACTTTTATCTCTAGGAGATAGATTTTGGATGGTGTACTAGTGACTAATGAAAATTTAAGGCTGGTTTAGCAAGCAGTAAACTTGAGAATGTTTAGGGGATTTGTAGTGAATGATATGGTATCATATAACCTACTACAGTATTTATGATACAATCTTGTTAGGGGAGGGTAGTTGCTCTAATTCATGGACAATAAAATCTATACTTAGAGACTTTAAAATGGTATCTGGACTAAGGACTAATATGTGGAAAAGAAAATTGTATGGGGCAGAGGCCAGTGATCATTTCTGATAGTCAGCATCACATTTCCTATCTTGTAAGGTGGACAGTACTCCTTTTAAGTTATGGGCATAACAATTGGGAGAGATGTTTTGAAGATATGAGGACTTGAGGTGGCAGATGGATTCATGCAGATGTTAACATTCAGACTAGGTGATGGAAAAAACATTCCATTTTGGCTGGCTAGATGGTCGGAAAACAACTCTTTGGCAATGCAATATACAAATCTATTCCAAGTTTGTAGTAATGAAGTGGTTAGTGTAAAAGATAAGGTGGAGTGGATAGAAAACAACTGCTTGAAATACTTTCAGAGATTAATCCTGTAATCTATCAACAGGATATGGTGATATGACCTTATGGAAAGGAAAGTATGTTTTTAATAAAGTTCTATTATGACAAATTTATGTGCAGGGCCAACCCAATCAATCTAGAGGTCTCGTTATGATTTTAAAAATAGGTTCATTTTTTATTTAAAAAATGTAATTAAAAATGACATATAAAAAGCATAACTATATATTAATCAAAATAGATTTAATTATAATTATTTTGACTTTTGATCAATCTCATTTTTTTTATGTATTTAGTTTTTATATACTATTTTTTTAATTTATTGAATTTTTATTATAACATTTTTTTTATATCTAGAAAAAAATTGCACCTTTTAAAATTTGGAGCCTTCCGAATTTAAGACGTTGTACCTTAGAACTTGCTGATCTTGCAAAAGACAGATCATGTTCTAGTGATAAATGACAATTTAAAACAGGCTTTAAAAGTGGTGTAGGAATCGAGAGTTCTATCAAAAGTAAAGATTTTTGGTTGGAGACTCTTTCGTGACACGTTGCCAACAAAGAAGGAATTTTGCATGATGCTCATGATAAAGTATGAGTACTCTGCTTAAGACAGGATGAACACATTGATCATGTAATGTTAAATTGTATAAAGATGGGAAAAGTATGGGATAAGATTCAAGTGCGATAAGAGAAAGACAGAGAAATGATAGAAGGTTCTTGCAATCAATTTTTACGGTGGCTAGTTTGTTAAAAGGCCAGATATGCAATAAAAGGATGGGAGTTATTTGTGGCGACTGGCTGCTGTGTTTGGAGATGCAGAAATGAGATTTTATTTAAAGAGACAATAGATGATGTAGAAGACATTATATTTAAAGTCAAGATGCATACTTGCAGGATGTTTAATTTTCAAACTGATTATCTTGCAAGAGGAAAACTTTTATTGGTTAGTAAAAATGTTAATAGTTTCTTTAACGATGTTGGATTTCTCGTACACTAATGTGTTCATTTGTTAATTTTTACGCTGTAGGAAATGATGGGATATGTCATTCAAGAATACAGAGAGTTTGAGGCATAATTGTATTTCTATCAGTAAGAAAACTATATTCTTAAAAGCATGAGTTATTATCTTTGTAAAATCACTAATTTTGAATCATGATTTTGAGTCATTAGTGTCTTAAATCGATTCGCAAGAGGATTGTAAACACGTTATGCTTGTAAAACTCCATGGAGTTTGTTTTTACAAATGATTGTTGTTTTCGGGCATAAAATTGCAAATTAAACTGGAAAAGTGGTTGATAGATGTTTGAAATAGGAAATGCTCGGTAATTGTTTATAAGACTATGCACGAACCAATTGAAATTGCAAATTAAATTGAAAAAGTGGTTGATAGATGTTTGAAATAGGAAATGCTCGGTAATTGTTTATAAGACTATGCACGAACCAATTGAAATTGCAAATTAAACTGGAAAAGTCGTTGATAGATGTTTGAAGGTAATTGTTTATAAGACTATGCACGAACCAATTGAAATTGCAAATTAAACTGGAAAAGTCGTTGATAGATGTTTGAAATAGGAAATGCTCAGTAATTGTTTATAAGACTATGCACGAACCAATTGAGTTTCAAGAAGACAGAGTTTTCCCGGTCTATTAATTTTTGCAACATTATAAAAATAAGATTTGTAGTGCAGTAAATTATAATTAACATATAATTATTTAAATTTTGAAATTTTCTATATATAATATTTGAAGAAGTTTATTTTCATTAAATAGTAAAAAATTATAATGTAAATGAAAATTTTGAATTTAAATACAATATTAATAATATTAAATCAATTTTTAACTTTTTATAATTAACATAGCAGGCACCATGTAAATGCGACTTAATAAATATAATAAATTAAGTTGTCAACTAATCAAAGTGAAAGAGGTGTCAATAAAAATTTTCATTTGGAGTTCAACCAAGACCAATAGACCATACTTTGACTCGTAAAACTTGAGAAACATAGTAGAAAAAAAGTAAGGAATATTCGCATTCTTAAAATTTAACCCCACAACTTGATAAAAGGCTATTAAAAATAAATTCGTAAACAAACTTGTTATATTTTCACTTACCAAATATATCCAAGTTAAGTCAAGTCAAACAAGAATTCTGCTAAGCTACTTATCGATTATCATACAGCATATTTCAAAGTTGGTTCGTTTCATCTTTAAGGGTGATAGAATAACCAAGCCCTGTAATATTACAAATAATTGGTATCTTATCTTAGTGCCCTCCACCAGGGTTTCTATTCCATGACAAATATGATGGATCTCCAAGTTGCCTACAAAGACAGAAAAATACAAATGAGCTAAACCATTTTACAATATCCAACAACTGAATTTTAAATATACGGAGGACACAAGATGAAAAATATGCATAACAGAATGAAGTTTTATGGTCTAATGCAATAGAGGATATAAGTATATGTACCTTGGCTTAACAAAATATACAATGGTAAAAGCCAAAGACAAAAAGAAGCATAGGCCTCCAACGGTGAGATAAGCAATGCCAATGAAGTCATTTTTCCCACCAAGCCAACTAGTAGTTGACAGCACGAGCTTTTTCTTGCCATTAAAACTGTAGGTGTTGTACTGATTTTTAAGTGCCACATTTATGAGATCACCGGATTTCAGATCCACCTCTATTCTTCCATATAACTTCCTGAAAGTTGGCAAGGCGGCAGTTCTCATCCAGACAATAAGATCCTCCTGTTCACTCAGCTGCTCAATAAAATATTTAAGAGGTGAGCAATATATCTTGTTGACACAAGCTATCAATTGAGAATACTCAAACTAATCGCAAGGTGAACAGAAAAATATAGGTTTAATTACTCGTTGGTTCCTGAACTACTTGGAGATTTTTAAATAGGTCCCTATAACTTTGTAATTGGATCTCTAAATTTGTTAGTAATTTGTAAGTAGGTCCTAAAAATAAAAACTCGTTCATTTAAGTACCTGAATTTGAAATGATTTATAATTATGTACTTCAACTTAAGGACCTAAATAGAAAGTTTTTAAGAGTTTAGGTACTTGACTAAAATTTTCTAAAGATTTATGAAGGACCTAATTGTAAACTGTTTCCAAAGTTCAGGGACCAAATTATTTAAAAAAAAGTTTGGGGATCAAATTAAATATTTTTGACAAATTCAGCGACACAATTACAATTTTATATTTCAGAGACCTGTTAAAAAATTCCCAAACTGTACATGGATCTACTGAAAAATTAAACCAAAAATATATTGGAACTGAAAGTTATTGAAAATTTAAGATGAGAAAGGCATTTGGAATAATTTTCCATCTGAAAAGTCATTTCTATAAGTACAATATGAATACTAATACTGATCAAAGTAGTTAAAACATTACTAACAACAACAATAGGTAAATAAAAAACTAATTTTTTTTACAAAAAAGTATGTGAATGGGTAATTAAAGGCCTAACTAAAACTGGACTAATCAAAAAATCACTAATCAACCTTCGGAACAAAGATAATATATCAAAATAAGATGTCATATAGGTGCTTACCGGTATGGATTCATTAAGATGGGCACCACCTATTATAGAACTGCTTTGAAAGTTTTTGGGGTGAACATCTTTTCCAAATTTGTGCTCTCTATCACTCTTCCAAGCGATGCCACTCTTGTTTACTTTCAAATCCGTTCCTTTGATGGAGAAGCTGTATGTGTCATTGAATAAACTCCAAGCTATGAGACCACAAGGTACAATTGCACTACCATTGACAAAATCTTCAGGCTTACAAGTACTAACTTCCTTCTCATCCTTAAGATTCCTCAATTGCTCATCACTTCGGCTTTTAACATACCTAAATTATAGAAAATAACTGACTATAAAAATATAAAAACTCATGCATAATGGATCAATTATTACAAATATATAAAGGGTGAAAATATACTACAGCAATCAGTCAAATACATTGAAGTTATAAACTACTGTAAATAGAAGATGAATACAAGGAAAATAGGAAATACAGAGAGAAATGGAGTCCAGAGAGAGCTATAATAAAATGGGCCCCGGACAAGGGGGGAGGAGGGAGATTATTCAGATTAATCCCACTCAACTTCGTGTTCTTCCGCCTGTACTTTCACCCCGGAGGAGGGAGATTATTCAGATTAACCCCACTCAACTTCGTGTTCTTCCGCCTGTCCTTTCACCCCTCCTCTAATTCCACAGCTCCTTCCAAAGGTCATTAGATCTGTAGCAACTAGTGCCCATGCACAGTACTTTAGATACCGTGCTCAAAGCCATGTATCTCTCTACTGAATTATTAGGGTTATATAATAATCTATCTTTTTACTCAACTCATTCTTCACAATGACATAACTTTCTAATGTCGTTTAATACTCATCTAATTCCACAATTCCATCTAAGGCAGTTAAGTCTATGGTACCTAGTACTCCTGCACAGCACCTTTGGTACATTTCCCTACAAGCCATATTTTCCCTACAAGCCATATGTTCAACTCCACCAAACTAGTTGGCTAAATAAATTTCACAAATTGAATTTCATATAATAAATCCATAAAACTATTCAAAATACCATAATTAAAAGTTAATGTTTTCATCTTACCAAGATTTTAAGATAAATTATATACATTAAACTATAAATTAATAACTTATGTTATCAAACTTGGTCATTCTGGCAGTTATATCGACATGGAACAGCACAACCAAGAAAACCGCGCCAAGGAATGGCTGCGATAATGGGATCAGATGCAGAATGACGCCACTCTGACACTGCCAGGAGCCCCGGTGTCATCCGTATACGATATTACCCTTAAACATTTTACTATAGCAAGGTTATTTTATTGAATTTTATTGGCATTTGCAAGTATGTTAAATGTTTTGCTTAAGACTTATGGCTTTTATTTATAATATGAATACTTAATGAATTTTGAGTAATTTATTTTAGTTTTTAACAATTATGTGTTTATTAGTATTAATGCTCACATCACTGAAATAACGCCTTTTCCGCTCCATTTTTGGGATGGTCGCGCTACTATCCGAGATTGATAACACGGACAATAACCAATTTAAAAAGAAAGTTGAAAAGTAAAAGCAGCAATTTATCGGCAGTCCCCTATCCATATTGTCAAAAACTAAATTTAGATATGACCAACAGATTCTTGTCATTAAAATAACACCCATTCCCTGATTTTGTAAATGTGAAATTGAAAATAAAAATTAAAAAATAATGTGTGACGTGAGACAAAGAAAGGTAATTGCATACCGGCGATGATTCTGATAAAAGTTGTCCAACTGATAGTATACAAAAATAGGTGCCTTCATGTGCTTGGTCACCTTTACATAAAGAACATGGTTTAAGAAAAGATAATAAGATTGCCACAGAGCGAGTCTTATTGACTATCAATTACAGGACAGAGCTAAACTAGTTTCCAGTAGACTTACATTCAGTGTTATATTGCACGTTTTATCTGTTTTAGGATTCTGAATATATGCTACCTTGTTAGTAATATTACTCGGTAAGCATTCTGACTCATATCTATATACGATTTCAACAACCTGATAGACACAAACATAAGAAACAAATAAAGTAATAGTCAGCATTACATGTATCTGTAACTGTAAGCATAAATTCATTCAATCATAGCACACAAGCTTACCTTTCGTGAAGCCATTAGTGAAGCAACTCCAATAGGAATGAACACCACACTAACAAGCAAAAACGCTGAAATAACCTGCAAGGAAACGCTTAAATTAAGTATAAGCTATATATATCACAGCATAAATAAAAATCGGAATACATATTTAGTCACATATATGATATAGTCATGAGCAATGAATTCAAAAAGATATCAAGTAGTGTTACCGCTCGTGGCGTAAGAATAGGCTTGCATGCAGGAAGTTCTTGCTGCGTAAACTTTGAATCTAGAAGATATCAAATCATCACAGAGATTTCATGTGAGTTCAAATTACAGTTAATAACAAAAATAAGCGATTCCATCATAACATTTACTAAAAATCAAAATCAAAATCAACATTAAGAAAAATAGGTCACTGAAAATAAAGCTAAAAAGGGGAAAACTAGAAGAATGAGAGAGATGAAGATGCATTACACTTAGGTCGCTTGGTGTGTCTTCTTGTAGCGGTGGAATCAGCAGATCCATGAGCTGCTGTGCTCGAAGAAGCCATTCACCGAATCGGAGTTGGAATCGGAATCGGAATCGGAATCGGAATCGGAGAAATTTCGATCTCAGTGATTGAAGCTTGACTTCGTTTCTCTCTCTCTCTAACTTTTGCTGTGAAGTGGAAAGCGACGCCTCCAAAAAGCTCAGAAAGAAACAACTGGCTAAGATCCTCTACTGTGGAAATCTTGACCGTTGATTTAAGATTCACAGTTCATATTACACCTTTATCAAGTAACACTAAACAATCCTTACCGTTTATTTAGGATCGGACGGTTGAAATCTACTGCAGCGGCACACAGTTAGTGCGTGCGATCCTAATCTTAGAAACAACACAACACAGTGCAATTTAAGCAACAAGAAAAAAAAAATTTAATTTTAATTTTTTTCAAATGAAATTAAACCATACATTGAAATATTCAAGTGAGAATTTTGTTAGTTTTCATTTTTGACTCGTTTTGGTAATTTATGATTGAACTAGTTAGTTATATTTGAGAATAAAATATTTTAAAATAATTGTCATTTTAAAATTTATTTAATTATTCTTATATTTTAAATTTTAGTTTTATTGGTTGCTTTATTTTAAATTTTTCGAAATTTTAGTTTTTACTCCCTCCGTTTTAAAATGAATGTCATTTTTAAATAAATAAAAAAAATTGTTTTAAAATGAATGTATTTCTACTTTTCAATAGAGTAATAATTGTTATTTTTTCAATTGTGTCAATTAATTATTATTTTGTATATCATTTTCAACATATTAATAAAATTAATTTAATAAAAATATAATATTTTATGACAATATTATTATATTTTTTAATTTGTGTGCAAAAACTCACAATCATTTTAAACGGAGAAAATATTTTGTATGACTAGATAGAAAAATTATTAGAGGTGAAAGGATTTTAACCCTAGACTTCTATAAGTGCAAAAAGAATTTAACGCATTCACCACTAGACTATTCAAAATTTGTTAAAAAAATCATGTTTTAAAATCTTTTCTTTTGCCAACCAAGACGTTAGCTCCTCGAGAGAGTTAAGCGGTGTATTGTATAACTATTTCTATAAAATTCATGTATTTTCTATTATCAAACTACTAAAATTGAATGCATATGCACTTCTTAATTTGTCTTTAGTTTTTCAAAAATTTATAATACCAAAAGGATTTATTAATAATCAATAAATGTACCAATTAAAATCATTTTCATTTGTTCACGTGTCATTTTCAAATCTCTCATTTTTTAAAATTTAAAATGTTTAACTTTTTTACTTTTTCACCCCCATTATCTTATTGGTTTTCTTCTCTTACTTTTCTCTTTTATGTTCTTATCGGCATCTTTTTCCTTTTTTCCTTTTTTTTTATAATTTTCTTCCATCATTTATCATCATTTCTCTCTTGAAAGCCAAATTTTACTTCTATCTAACACTAATCCATGTTTTTTACTCTCCTCGTCTCAAAATAACTATCATAATGAGTCCTTTCACACAGATTAAAAAAATGTAATAAATGAAATAGAGAGAATAGAATTTTTTTTTTTACCAAACTATCATTCACTACTATAAAAAATAACTTCGGTGAAATAATATTAAAATGTTCATTTTTCCACTGTCGTTATATAACATCTTGTACCCGCATGTTTTTTTATTTTATTAAGAAACTTTTCTTCACGATTCCTTTAAAAAAAATTATGGTCATAGAGTTTAGATGACAAGCTTCGAGTCCCAACATAAATATTTTTTCTTTTTTTTTTTCAATAAAAATTAGCGTGTGTCCCTTTTTATTTATTGTTATTTAAAAATTGAAAGTATAACAACCACAATTATTTAGCTCAACTGTGGTTATATGTTCCATATTTCACAACGGTTGAAGCTTGCAACCGTTGTGAAATATTTTACCACAAAATTAAAATATTACAAGTACTTCATTCCATTCACAACACACAAGGGTGCTCTGGCGAACGAGACGACAGTGATGGTGAAACTTTCACTACCTTCATTCATTTTTGGAAACGAATATCATTTCTGGAAAGGAAATCATCATCCTCTTCAAATTACGGTATGTTACTAATTCGTCTCTCTGACGCTTTTGAATGTTATATTTTTCATAAGGATTATTTACCATTAGCACTCTCTGACGCTTCTGAGTGTTAATGTTCTTTGTTAGGATGTTGTGTGTATTGGCATTGTCATGTGTATTGTTCATGTTGTCATGTTCATGTTTTATTCAAATTTGTGAATATGTTTTTGGTTTTTGTCTTAGATGTGTTTATGTTTTATTCAAACATTATGACGCTTTTGAATATGTTTATGTTTTGGTGTCACCATGTCCATGTTTTATTCAGACAATGTCATATGCATATATCATATTAGGCCCGATGTTTTGGTTTTTGGTGTTGTGTCTGTAGCATTAGGTTGCCATTAACATTATTCTTTTGATATAAATTTCATATTTTTTTATGGAACGTAGTTGGATGAAAGTCGATAGATTATATTCGTTGTATGAAAAAGGAGTTCTTGAATTCCTTGAATTTGCCAAAAATATATATTCTCGACAATAATGGTATCATTTGTTCTCCTTGTGTTGTTTGCGGGAATATTAGAAAACGATCAAAGAAAGAAATATTCAATCACCTATGTTGTGATGGAATATGTCAAAATTATATAACATGGACGTGGCATGGAGAAGTGGATAATAACCAAAATGTGACGTCACAAATGGATGGAGATGATGATGATGATATGGATGATTGACTAGAAGATATGATTCACGATATTGGAGAATCTTCTTATATGAAAGCACATATTTATAATATGTTATGTATCGACAAAGATGTGCCTTTGTATAAGGGGTGCACCAATTTTACATGATTGCATGCGTTGTTAAAATTATTTAATCTGAAGGCAAAAGGTGGGTGGTCGAATAAAAGTTTCACTGATTTGCTTGATTTGTTGAAATAAGTGCTACTAGAAGATAATAATTTGTCGGATCGATGTTATGAGGCCAAGAAGATGTTGTGTCTAATGGGTTTAGAGTATGTCGAAATACATACATGCCTTAATGATTTTATATTATACAAAAAAGAGTATGAAAGTTTGGTTTGATGTCCACAATATGGTGAGTCGCATTATAAGTTGAAGAATAACAATGGTGATGACAATGACAATGTTAGTAAAAAGCATCCTCCTACAAAAGTGTTATGTTACTTGCCAATAATTTTAAGGTTAAAGAGACTTTTTGCTAATGCGAATGACACAAAGAATATTAGATGGCATGCAGATGAAATAAAATGTGATGGAAACATTCGTCATATAGTTGATTCTTTGCAATGGAAGAAAATTGATTCATTGTTTCCGAATTTTGGCCTTGAGCCAAGAAACCTTAGGCTTGGACTTGCCACAGATGGAATGAACCCCTTTGGTAATATGAGCATTAACCATTCTTCGTGACATGTTTTTCTCACTATTTAAAACATATCTTCTTGGTTGTGCATGAAGCGCGAGTATATGATGTTAAGTATGATAGTTCCTGGATCAAGACAACCTAGAAATGAAATGGATGTTTACCTAAGTCCATTAATTGAGGATTTAAAACTTTTGTGGGATAAAGGTGTTGACGTTCATGATGTATATTCTGGTGAAAAGTTTAAGATGCGTGCAATGTTATTGTTCTGGATTGGGTCAGAGGTTGGCCCACCGTCGAGCACAGCCCAACCCAGCTCCTCATCGAGGAGGGCCCATTGAAGGCCAAATCCATCAATATGCACGAGGAGCTCTCACACGTCTCTCTCATGGTTCCACGTGCCTTCCACGCGAGGACACATCATCAGGCAACTACCCACCTCCCGAAGGTCACGGGGCAGTTGACCCAGGGCGAAGACCACGTGCTGGTCTTCCCTACACCACGTAAGCTCTAGAAGTTACTCGTATTGGGCCTTACAATCCAACTCAGTGCAAAGTAACCGTTGGCCCAATGCTGGGGGCACATTATAAATACCATTTTCACTAGAGGGTCAGATATTATATTCTTTACACACCTTTTCGGTATTTGCTCGCATTGCTCCGTCTCTTACTTTGGTATCGGAGTACCTTGCAGGTACACCCTCTTCTCTTCTCCACCACCGGTGAACACAGGAGCTCACGACGTGTTGTTGGATGCTGACCATTTTCTGATCCAGTAAGATTAGTTATTTTGCAGAATCAACAACTTACCTGCATATGGTAATTTGGCTGGATATAGTGTCAAAGGACATAAAGTGTGTCCTATATGTGAATCTTATACATGTTTTCCCTACTTAAGTTTGGAAAAAAGATTGTTTACCTTGGGCATCAGAAATTTCTAAAACCTAATCATACTTATCGTAGATTGCGGAAGGCTTTTAACGGAGAGCATGAATTTGAAAGCGCACTAAAACCTTTAACCGATAGTGGAGTTTATCAAAGACGATAACACCTTAATGTTTTCTTTGTAAAGAAAAAAGACGGCTCCGTTGAGAGAAATATTTGGAAAAAGAGATTGGTGTTCTTTGATCTTCCATATTGGTTTAGACTTGAGGTAAAATATTGTCTTGATGTGATGAGTGTGGAGGAAATGTGTGTGACAATTTGATAGGAACACTTTTAAACATTCCAGACAAGAATAAAGATAACAATAATTCCCACTTAGATATGGTAGAGATGGGTATACGACAACAGTTGGCTCTAAAAGATAGAGGAAAAAGATCTTATTTGTCTCTGGCATGTCACACTCTATCTAAAAAGAAAAAGAAAAGTTGTTGCGACTGTTTGCATGATATCAAAGTTTCCCAAGGTTACTCTTCAAACATCAAGAAACTTGTATCAATGAAAGATCTCAAGTTAGTTGGCTTAAAATCTTATGATTGTCATGTTTTGATGCAACAACTTCTACTAGTGGCTATCTATGACATCCTTTCAAAAAAAAATGTAAGAGTAATTATAATCAGATTGTGTTTATTCTTCAATGTTATACGTAATAAAGTTCTTGATTTCAAAA